CTCCCCGCCGCCCAGGCTGAGCCGGCGCCCCGCAGGGCTACCTGGAGGAGCTGGTGCGTCTGCGCGAGTCGCAGTTGAAGGACCTGGAGGCGGAGAACCGGCGGCTGCAGCTGCAGCTGGAGGAGGCGGCGGCGCAGAACCAGCGCGAGAAGAGGGAGCTGGAAGGCGTGATCCTGGAGCTGCAGGAGCAGCTGTGAGCGCATGGCCTGCCCTAACCCCTGACCCCGGCCGCCCCGACCACATCATCGGGCGAACCCCATCTTCACTTCCATCGACTCTAACATCACCCAATACGAGCACCCACCTCTCCAGCATCAACCCTCTGATCTAGCCAGCCCACCCCTAGATGCCCACAATGATCTTCTAACATTGCCCCCAGCATAAGATCCAGTGACTTCCAACAGCCAGAGCCCCACTTCACCCTCAGTTACCCTTCAGCTAGAGTGGCCATCCAACCTTACTGCAGGGACCCCACGTCACTCACGAGGACCTGCGGTGTTGCTCTTCAACCTTCAACACGATTGCACACTTCCCAGCGTTCATCACCTCACTCACCTGCACCACAGGCTCACTGACCATCATCACCCGCTGTGACCCCCGACCTCACCCCTGCCGATCCCTGTAACACTTCTTCTCTAAGCCTTTCCATCACCCTGATCTTGCGGCAGGATCCCCAAGACGACCTTACCCTTCAGGGATTCCCACACTATTCTCCACTGAAGCCCCCATCACCCCAACTGACCCCTACAACATTGTACCATTCCCTCCAACTCCCTGTCACCCCTCCACCCCAGTACCACCTCCACTTCTTCCCGGGATCTGGCCCACTGACCCCAACACCGTATCCCCATTTTTGCCGCTCAGATTTCATTCCTGACCCCTCCCTCATCCCCTTGCTGAATCTCCTTCCTCACTTCTCCTACTTCCAGCCAGGCCTGACTCCTCCTCCCCCTCCCAGGACAGGTCTGATCCCCAGTGACCACGCCCCTCTGGCCCAGGGTTCCAAGGAGCTCACTACACCCCTGGTCAACCAATGGCCCTCACTGGGAACGCTTAATGGGGCCGAGGGCGCCAGCAACTCCAAGCTCTACCGGAGGTAAGCCCCAGCCGGGTGCGGCTTGGGCCTGCGAGCGGGTCGTCCTGGGGAAGAAGGGCTTCCTCTACCGGTGCACCAGCTCTCGCTCTGCCGCAGACACAGCTTCATGAGCACGGAGCCCCTGTCAGCTGAAGCCAGTCTGAGCTCGGACTCCCAGCGCCTGGGAGAGGGCACACGGGACGAGGAGCCCTGGGGTCCCATCGGTGAGCTCCCCCAACCCCAACACCAACACCCAGTACCCCTCCAGGAGGGGCTGAGGCAAGGCCCTGAGGCCTCGAGGCAGGTCCTAGCCCATTGCCTCTTTCATTCTCTCAGCCTTTCTTTTCTTTTTCGAGACAGAGTCTCACTCTGTCATCCAGGCTGGAGTGCAGTGGTGCAATCTCAGCTCGTTGTAACCTCCGCCTTCCGGGTTCAAGGGATTCCCTTGCCTCAGCCTCCTGAGTAGCTGCCATTAAAGGCTCCCGCCACCACACGTGGCTAGTTTGTGTATTTTTAGAGACGCGCGGCTAATTGGTGCATTTTTAGTAGAGACGGAGTTTCGCCAGGCTGGTCTCGAACTCCTGACCTCAAGTGATTCACCCGGCTCAGCCTCCCAAAGTGCTCGGATTACAGGCGTGAGCCACTGTGCCCGGCCTCTCTCGGCCTTTTTTGAGGGCTTAGCACAGCAATTGAGAGCTTACTTGGGGTGTCAGAACCCAGCATACGCAGAACCCAACATAAATCCTGGCTGTGCTTCCTCTGACCATGTGAGCTTGGTCAATCACTTTATCTCCATGAGTCCATTCTTTGTAAAATGGGGATATTGATAATCATCAGTGTTGTCATGTGGTGAGGGCTTAGTGGCTTTTTAGTGTCATGACATCCTCAGGGGGCTCACAAACTCTAGAGGAACTCCTCAGACTAATTTGCTCTTATCTCATGCACACTGTGAACTACTTGCCTGACCATTGTTTTCCCCTTCTCTTTGGCTGCCAGGAAGCTCAGAGCCAAATTAGTGGCTCCCTTCGAGCGAATGCCCAGGACTTCAACGCATGCACTTTGTGTTGACCTCATCCCTGGCTTCACCTTGGTTTTTCCCATCCTAGTTCTCCCTATGCCTGGATAACCCGTCTTTTCTTTTTTATAAGCAACCACACTGTATTGGATGACCCTAGACCTTCTTTGAGACAAGGCAGGCTGTGGCCATGTAGCCCCATCACACTGTTTGTGATTGTCTGTGTGTCTGTCTCCCCCACCAGACTGTGAGCTCCATGAGGGCAGGGACCGTGTCTTGTCCGTTCTCTGTATCCCCAGTGCTTGGAACAGAGCGAGTGCTCACTGTGTATTTAATAAATGGACAAAGAGAGAGGATGACCCTCAGGGGGAGACAGAGACATCAACTGACGATTACAATACAGTGTCCCCAGCGCCGTGCCTGGCACAGGCAGGTGCTTAACCAAAGTTTAACTGAAAATGGCAAATGCCCTGGAATATATCAAGGTCCCCTGGGGGGTGACTTGAGGGCTGCCCCTTCACTGCCCACCCCTCTACCAACTCCCACACATGCAGACTGGTTGCCCGGCCTCACCCGCCCTCTCTCCCCAGGGAAGGACCCCACGCCCTCCATGCTGGGCCTCTGCGGCTCCCTGGCCTCCATTCCCAGCTGCAAGTCCCTGGCGAGCTTCAAATCCAACGAGTGCCTGGTGAGCGACAGTCCCGAGGGCAGCCCGGCACTGAGCCCCAGCTGAGGAACGGCATGGGCAGTGCTAGCCCCACCTGCCAGGGGCCATGGACGCCTGCCACCTTTCTTCAACAAGAGTCCCCCAGTCCAGGCTACCCTTGCAGAGAACGCTGCCCACCAAGCCAGGGTTCTCTCGGGGAAGATCCCCTCTACTCACCTTAGCTTCCTTGCCTGTGGCAGCACGGGCTGCGGAGGAAAGCAGGCTGAGCCAGGAGGCAGGGGTGCCCAAGCCGCAGGGACCCCTGGGGAAGCCTGCTCCATTCTTCTGGTGACCCTGGCACTCCCTCACTCATCTCCCCTTCCCCCTCAGGAGCTGGTGGCCCAGTTTCCACACCCCCACCTCCCAGTCTCTAGCCTGTCCATCTGTCCCTGTGTATGCCCTGGAGTCACTCCTTCCTCAGCCCCCAGGGCAGGAGCTCTGCGGGGGATCAGGCAAATAAAAACCAGAGGACTGAGGGCAGCCTTGTATGTGGGGGGCTGGGGAAGGGCCCCGTCCTGAGGTCTGAAGTAGAGTCAGTGCCTGGCCCGTGACCAAGGTCAGGCAGCACTAGCATATGCCCTGTAGGGACAGGCAGGCCAGCACTCAGGGAGTGGGTAGCTTCTGTGTTAAGTGCCCAAAATATTAGGTCTGCCCAGGGCAGGCCCAAGACATGCAAGTGCCCTCCAACCCAACAGCCTTTAAGAATTCGCTCAATCCCAGGCTGAGGAGGCCGAGCACGCCGGGGGCAGGATGGAGGCACACCCTGGTGGGGCCAGTGCCCTGTGCTGCCTCAGCAATGGTGCTTTAGCCCAAAGTTGCAGACTCCTCTTAGGCCAGAGCCTGGCAGTTAAGCGGCCCTCACTCCTCTGCTGTCGCTTAAGTGTGCCCTTAAGGAGAGATGTTACCATCCCCAATTTTTTTTTTTTTTTTGAGATGGAGTCTCGCTCTGTTGCCAGGCTGGAGTGCAGGGGCGCCATTTCGGCTCACTGCAAACTCCGCTTCCCAGGTTCAAGGGATTCTCCTGCCCCAGCCTTCCAAGTAGCTGGGACTTGACAGGCGCCCGCCACCATGCCCAGCTAACTTTTGTATTTTTAGTAGAGACGAGGTTTCACCGTGTTAGCCAGGATGGTCTTGATCTCTTGCCCTTGTGATCCACTCGCCTTGGCCTCCCAAAGCACTGGGATTACAGGCATGAGCCACCATGCCCGGCTCCTACCATCCCCTATTCTAACCCTAACATGGGGGTGGTCCCCGAAGGGACCTCACCATCAGAATATCTACTTGTGGTCCCTCACACTCTAGGTCCTCACCCCGACTGACTCTCACCAAGCTGGAGAGGTCCTCTTTATGGGTGCCACCCTGGGCAGCCAAACCAGCACCAGGGTCCCTCCCAATCCTCCCTCCCAGCCACCCCAGGCCCCAAAAGGACAGGCGCCAGGCAGAAGTTCATCATCTTTACACTGAAGGAATTAACAGGGGTCAGGGAGACTATGCCAGGCTGAGGGTTTCTCGGTTTCCGGAGACAGGCCCAGCTACAGCAAACACAGGGAAACACAAAGGGAGCAACTGGAAGATTTGGTCTTGAACTTGGGGGGTGGGAAAGTGATGATCCCCACGATTGGAGCAGCAGGAAGAAGCTGCGTCTGAGGAAGGGCTGGGCCGCCCAGAGGGACAGCCCTGCCCTGGAGCTTGTCGCTAGCAGGGAAGGGAAACAAGCCCCCTCCCTCAGTGCTGAGAAAAAGGCACTTGGCTGGGTATCCTCCTGCCCTCTCCCCATCCATGGGAGAGATGGGGTCCTTGCCTCCATGCCCCTTTCAGCTGCCCAGAAGCCGGTCCTGGTTCAGCCTCTGGAAGAAGCTTTTGCCGAACTCATAGGTGCTGATCATGATGGCGCAGGAGGGGGCAGCCTTGATGATCCGAGGAAGGAAGCCTGCAGTGGAAAGGAGGCCTGGGTCAGGGGTCAGGATCGCAGGCCCCGCCCTGCGCCCAACCCCAACACCCACACACTGACCTGCAAAGAGTCCCTTGGTGCCAGACTCGGCGCGGATCCTCCGCAGCAGCAGCCAGGTGGAGCCCACATGCAGGGGGTTCACTGCAAACGCGACGCCGGCTCAGTGAGGCCCCATTCAGGACCCCGCCTGTCCCCTGCCACACCCGTCTGGGCCCTCACCTCTCACAGCCTCCATTGCTCCCAGCGCGACCTGGCGTTGGGTCTTCACCACATCAAAGGGTAGAGTCAGCACTGCAGCCACCTGGTGGGGCGGGCAGGGACAGGGCTCAGCTCCACTTCCAGGACCCCCAGCCCTTCCTCCCAGATGGCTCTTGCGGCCGGGAGGGACAAAGGCCTCATGGGGTCTGCTTCTGGGCATCTCCAAAAACCCTCAGGCCCCCCCCAGGGAGACCTCCACTGGCCTCACCTCCAGCCCAGTCCACTTACCGTCCCTGAGATGCCACCAGCCACAAAGCTCATGCCCACAGAAGTCTGGTCCTTCGGCCTGAGTCCATTCAGCCAGCTCTTCACCAGCTCATAGTTGAACCAGTACAGGGCTTGGGGAGGGGGATGCACTGATTAGAGATGGGGAGGGCAAGGAGGTAGTCCCAGACCTTCCATCTTTCACTGCTACCACTCCCTCCCAGCTGTGAGTGTTCTCTGCTACATGCAGGCTTGGAAGCAGGCTCTCTGTAGGAATTAATCTCCTGACAGCCTGGGCAAATACTCTACCTGCTACACCCATTTCACAGCTGAGAAACCCATGGCTCAGAAAAGCTAAGTAACTTCGTGGTTACTAGTTACAAAGCTGGGAGTTGGCCGTAGACCCTTTGTGTATCACCCCAGGGTTCCCTCATCCACCCCCTACAGCCCAGGTGCCTACCTGAGAAGGGCACATCTCGAAGGGCAGTGGGGCCCCAGCCCAGCCACAGTGAGCGCCAGCCACCCTGAGCCACTGCAGCTCGAACACAGGCACCCAACTCCCGGTACGACACATGCCGAGCCTGCAGCTTTGTCCGCATAAGCTCCAGGGGGCTGACCACAGTCACGGTGCCCACTGTGTGGGGATTGGGGTGACAGTGCGGAGAAGTCAGGTCACAGGTCTTACATGGCATCATGTAACTGCTGCCCCAGGTCTAGGGACCTAGAACATCCCCCGCACCCCCAGGCTGGCAGAGGTTGGGGCTGGGAGCTGGGACTGACTGGGCTTGGGCAGAGCTGGGGACAGAGGGAGGTCAACGGCCCAAGATTATGCTCACAGCGGGCCAGAGCGCCAGCCACCATGGGTGCGTAGAGGTCAGAGGTCAGGGCTCGACCACATAGGAAGGCCTTGAGTTGGTCGTAGGCAGTGAAGTAGATGGCGGTAGCTGGCACAGTCATCACCCTGGAGATACGGAGAGAGGTTAGCTGGGACTCCCAAAAGGACCCAAACTTTTAAAGCATCACCTGCCCCACCTAGCCATTCAATAGGGCGCAAGGAGTCAGGAGGTACCAGAGAAGAGGGGTGCAGGATCCGGCTACTCACAGGGTGGCGGGGAGGCCGCTCCAGAGGGTCCTGGTGCCCTCATGCCTCACGATCTTCACGAAGGCGTCCTGGCCAAGCAGGCACCAGCCCAGGGGAAGAGGAGGGACACAAGTGAGGTCTGTGATGGGGCTGGCCTAGGCTGGGCCTTTGCCTGACGCCCTCAGCCTCTGCCCACAGCCCTCAAGCCTCCCTGCCTCTACACGTGCAATACCCCAGTTGGGTCCAGGTGGACACCTGGTCACCCTTCAAAAACCTCATGGAGGCCAGGCACAGTGGCTCACACCTGTAATCCCAGCCAGCACTTTGGGAGGCCAAGGCGGATAAATCACTTGAGGCAGGGGTTCAAGACCAGCCTGGCCAACGTGGCAAAACCCCGTCTCTACTAAAAATACAAAAATTAGCGTCTACTAAAAATACAAAAATTAGCGTCTACTAAAAATACAAACATTAGCGGCAGGTGCTGATGCACGCCTGTAATCCCAGCTATTTGGGAGGCTGAGGCAGAAGAATCACTTGAACCCAAGAGGTGGAGGTTGCAGTGAGCTGAGATCACGCCACCGCACTCCAGCCTGGGTGACAAGAGCCAGACTCCATCTAAAAAGAAAACAACACCTCAAAGAGATACTGCCTTCTCCGGAAGCACTTTCTGACTGAACTGGCTACCTCTGCGTGCCTTGCCTAACCCCTTCTTTCCTGGGGCTGCTGCCCAGCCAGACCCAACTCCTCACAGACACTGGCGAATCCCTATGGACCCAGCTGCTCCTCACCATGGTGCCAGTGAAACGGGTAGGGTCTTGAAACCAGGTGGCACAGCGGGCACCATTTGGGCACAGGTACAGGGGCTCCAGGACACCATTGCAGTACAGGAGGCACTTCCCTGTGGATTGGAGAGAGGAGGGCACTGGGGAAAGGCAAGGGACGTTATAATGACAGGACCCTAGAACCTTGCAGGGAAGCAGTGGGCTCCTATCCCTGGAAGGCCAGTAAAGGCCAGGTCCCTGTGTGGATGTTCTGGTGCAGGTCATGGGACTGGCTGGCGGGACCTGGGCGTATACACTAGTCCATGGCTGTGGAGTCCACTGGTGCCCTGGGGACAGGGACAAGGACTCTCTCCCCCTTGAACCCTCCCAGGCTCCCTGTGGCTTGGGGCACTCACATTTGGTATAGGAGAGGCTCCACAGTCTGGAGGAAGGCGTCAACTCTAAAATACAAGGCAGCCCCTCAAGTCAGGAGAGCCCCCACCCGCCCCAGGGACCCCATCTCTGGAAGATCTTTTTATTTTATTTTTTGAGATACAGTCTTGCTCTGTCGCCCACCCTGGAGCATAGTTGCACAATCTCAGCTCACTGCAACTTCCACCTCCCGGGTTCAAGCGATTCTCCTGCCTTAGCCTCCCGAGTGGCTGGGACTACAGGCGCCCGCCACCAAGCCCGGCTAATTTTTGTAGTTTTAGTAGTGAGGGGGTTTCACCATGTTGGCCAGGCTGGTCTTGAACTCCTGACCTCAGGTGATCCGCCCGCCTCAGCCTCCCAAAGCGCTGGGATTACAGGTGTGAGAAACCACGGCTGGCCTCTGGGAGATCTTTCTTTTGCCCAGGCACCACCCCTCACTAGCTCCAGGTCAGGTACTCACCGCTGGCCATGGAGGGCCGCTGAGACTGCAGACGAACCTTCACCACGTCCAGGGGTGTCACTGGGGGAGGAAGTGGGTCTGAGGGCTCCTTTCAGGACCCCACCCCTAGGACTCCTCCCCCAGGACCACACAGCCTCCAATCTCTGGTCTGCCCCATCCCCACCTGCCCCCACCCCACCTCCCAAGGTCTTACTGAAGAGGGAGGTGACCACAGCCCCAGCGCCTGAGGCCACCATTTGCTGGAGGGGGCTGATACCCCCAAGGTCTTGGTCAGCCATCTTGAAGCTTCAGTCCTGAAAACCAAACCTCAAATGGAGCAAAATTCCAGGGATGGCAGGAAAGGAGGCAGGGCCACTGTGAGACTTTTTCTCTGAGACGGAGTCTCGCTCTGCACACTGTCGCCAAGCTGGAGTGCAGTGGCACCACCTCGGCTCACTGCAACCTCCACACCCATCTCCCACCAACCCCCGTTCATGCTATTCTCTCGCCTCAGCCTCCGAAGTAGCTGGAACTACAAGCTCGCACCACCTCGCCTAGCTAATTTTTGTATTTTTAGTAGAGACGGAGTTTTACCATGTTGGCCAAGATGGTCTCAATCTTCTGACCTCGTGATCCGCCCGCCTAGGCTTCCCCAAGCACTGGAATTACAGGCGGGTGCCACCGCGCCCGGCCCGCTATGAGACCTTAACCCGACCCTTACCCACCGCCCTTGAAACATCAGTTGCCTCAACAACCCTGGCAATGACCTCTAAAGCAGGGACTGTCCGCCCCACTCCGCCGGGGGAAACTAAGGCATGGGGAGACGAGGTGGCCTGCCCAAGGTCACTCAGGAGTGGCTCCGAAGGAAGCTGGGGTGCCAGACCTATCTCTCGATTGCAATAGGGGCCAGGGCCGTTCCCTCGTCTACCTCGCACGTGTCCACTGCTCACCTCCTACGTGCAGGCGCGGGTTTGGCCCTCGTGGCCCCAAAATCAGAGTACCTGTGTCGTCCCTGCAGCCCCTACTCCAGCACCAAGGCCCCGGGCGGGCACCTGCGAGCCCAAGTTACCGGGCGTGGAGGAACGGCCGGGCACCGAGGGTGACGCGTAAACAGATCTAGTGACCACGAAGGGCCCGTCGCCTCCTCGGGACTGCGGGCTGGGATGCCCGGCCCTCCCCGCACGGCCGAACGGGCCAGACCCGCCGCCCGTAGAGAAAGAGCAGTCTCTGGCCTCCCGCCCCAAAATACAGGCCCGGGGCGCAGCCGAGAGAGCGGGAAGTAGGGACGTAGAGCCAGGATCTCTCCCCGACGCTCGGCTACACTCCCGGCACCGGAGCGCGCAGAGCCGCCAGATGAGGAGGACCACGCCAGCCCGACGGCCCCAGCACCGGCCCTGGCTCGCACGGCCGCCCAGAGACCCCCGCTTCTGTCTCCGTCCCCAGCCCTGGCCCAGCACCGCCTACCTGGCTCTAGGCTGGTGCTCGTGCGGCTCGGAGCCCAGGGCCGGGCGGGCCCATACCGGCTCCGGCTCCAGTGCGGGGTCCGCGCGCCCTCGCCGAGCCCCCGGGCCAACGCCGAAAGAAGCCAAGTGGGCCCCGCCCCCACACCGCTGCGCGAGGCCCCGCCCGCCGCGGGCCGACCATCCGCAAACCCGGAGTGTCTCCGGCTCCGCCCACTCGCGTCTCCGCCGTGACCTGCGGCGGTCCAGCCCCCTTGCCGGGGCCGCGCGGGCAGGTTCCAAGCCTGTCTAGCGCTAAGACCTGCAGGCCAACGTCGCGGTCTCCACGTCGCGCTAAAACCTGGCAGCAGCAGGCACTTCCAGCACCTTTTTTTAGCCAGCATCTTTTTCAGCCTCGCTCTGTCGCCCAGGCTGGAGGGCAGTGGCGCGATCTAGGCTCACTGCAGCCTCGACCTCCCGAGCTCAAGCGATCCTCCCGCCTCAGCCTCCCGAGTAGCTGGGACAACAAGAGCGCGCCGCCACGCCCGGCTTGTTTGTTATTTTTATTTTTGTCTCCCTAGGTTGCCCAGGCTAGTCTGGAACTCCTGGGCTCAAGCGATCCGCCCACCTCGGTCTCCGAAAGTGCTGGGATTCCAGGCGTGAGTCGCCGCGCCGTCCTTAACAGCGCATTTGCACCAGCCCCGCCCCGGCCGCGCGCGGCACTGGGAGCCCCAGCGCCTTCCGGACGGCGAGGGTGATGCACTGGCCCCCTTCCTCGGGGTCCTCAGGTGCGTGGCGGCGGCAGTGAGAATGAGTTATTCGAGATCGCCGAGAGACCGCACAATAACGGCGAAGTTACTTGCCGGGCTCCCCGCCGAGACTTGAAAACTTCTCAACGACTTGTCTCGCCGGCCTTAGCATCGCCCCCATTTTGCAGGTTACGGAACAGGCCTGCAACTGCAAAACGCTTTGTAAACCACAGGGCCCCGCGCGGGTGTGCGCCACTGGGTGAGCCGAGCTACAGCCCGGGCCGGGCGGGCTGGGACGAGAGCAGGCTGAGGGAGCCGGGAAAGCCATGGGGAGCCACATCCCACTTCCGCGTGACCTTGAGAAAATCACAACCCCGCCTAAGGCCCAGAATGACTCCCGCGCGGGAAGGGAATGCACACTGAGGGCGGGAGGACACCGACGTTTTGCTGTTGGTTGCACTCGCATCGTGATTTCTTCTGAGTCTCAAAACTCTTTGCAGTAGGTTATTGTTGAAATAGATTACCCCAACCCCAAGCCGAGCGCGGTGGCTCACGCCTGTAATCCAGCACTTTAGGAGGCCGAGGCGGGCGGATCACTTGAAGTCAGGAGTTCGAGACCAGTCTGGCCAATATGGTGAAACCCCGTCTCTACTAAAAATACAAAATTAGCCAGGCATGGTGGCGGGCCCCTGTAATCCCAGCTACTCGGGAGGCTGAGGCAGGAGAATCGCTTGAACCCGGGAGGCGGAGGCTGCAGTGAGCCGAGATGGCACCACTGCATTCCAGACTGGGCAACAGAGTGAGACTCCGTCTCAGAAAAAAAGGCCGAGCGCGGTGGCTCATGCCTGTAATCCCAGCCTTTTGGGAGGTCGAGGCGGGCGGATCATCAGAGGTCAGGAGTTCGAAAGCAGCCTGACCAACATGGTGAAACCTCGTCTCTACTAAAAATACAAAAAATTAGCTGGGCGTGGTGGCTTATGCCGGTAATCCCAGCTACTCGGGAGGCTGAGGCAGAAGAATCGCTTAAACCCGGTGGTTGCGGTGAGCCGAGACTGCGCCATTGCACTCCAGCCTGGGCAACAAGAGCGAAACTCCATCTCAAAAAGAAAAATAAATAGATTACCCCATTTTACAGAGAGTGAAACTGAGGCTCGACGTGAAGAGCCCGAGATTCAAACCGGCCGGTGCTTTTCCCACGGCCCCCACACTGCCTCCTCAGGAGACAGGCGGGCTTAAGTCCAGCACTGCCCTCTCCCATCCCGCTTGTCAGGGAGACACTTTATTTCCCGGGGCAACCCCGTACCCCAGGCTCCACCACCCACCTCGCGTTTAGAACTTTTGCGCCATCGTGCTTATTTGTCCTAACAGAGAAACCAGCACGCGGGGGCGGGGGGAGGAGGCGGTGGGCTAACCTGCGCCTTTAAGAAGGGTAGGCCTTAACTTTGACGTCACCGCCTTCCCCGCCCCTCATTCCCCTACTGGTCGCGTTCGGCGCTGGAGCAGCGCAGTCAGCAGGCGCCTGCCGGGTTAGCACGTGGATGTCGAGGAGCCAACTATCAGCTTTCCCTGAGAGAATGCCTTTGGGCTCCGGCAGAGCTCGGAAACTCCAGCTTGGGAGCAGGGAGAGTGCAATCTGTGGCCTGTAAAGGGGCCGCTGGGCAAAAGGACCCGAGAGAAGGTGTCCTTTCCATTCCCTTCCCACCTCAAGCTGAGTTCAGAAATGACACGAAATAATTTTATCAACTATCATTCAAGGTCGGGCTCACGTCTGTAATCCCAGCACTTTGGCAGGCCGAGGTGGACAGATCACCTGAGGACAGGAGTTCGAGACCAGCCTGACCAACATGATGAAACCCCGTCTCTACTAAAAATACAAAAATTAGCCGGCCGTGGTGGTGCGCACCTTTAGTCTCAGCTAATAGGGAGGCTGAGGCTGCAGAATCGCTTGATCCCGCGAGGTCGAGGCTGCAGTGAGCCGAGGTTGCACCACTGCACTCCAGCCTGGATGACACAGGGAGACTTTGTCTCAAAAAATAATAGGTAGATAGATAGATAGATAAACAAACTATCAGTCAAGGTGAGAACCTACTCTCCACCAACGTTCTTTACAACTTCGACGTTTTGGTTTACAGAACAGGGGAGGAAACTGACGGCTCTTGTGTGTAGTGATTTTACTGGTGTGGAGGAGAACCCAGACTTTCTCTGCACACACTCTCCCGTTTTACAGATGAGAAAAGGGAGGCCCTCAAGGTCACTCAAATAAAAGAGTCAGCATTAGATCCCCCAAAGTGCCTGAGCCAGATGAGCGCCCACCCTTTCCAGTTCTCAGCCCAGATGCTCTGCTCCAGCAGCGCCCTGACCTGGCTTTCCATCTCGCCTGCCTCTTACAAGCGTCTTAAGACCTCTAAGCTTTAGTTTCCCCATTTACAAAATGAGCTGATGGTGATGATAATGCACCTTCCCCTAGGGATTATGTAAGGATTGAATGCATTAATAGCTGTGACGTGCTTAGAACCCTGGCCCATGGCAAGCATTCTATGACGACAACTACTGTTGCTGTTACTGTACTGTTATTAATTGCTCTCTAGAACCTGTGGCATGGAAAGTTCCCCAGATTCTGGCCCCACCTCTGCCTCTAATATACAGTCATGGATAATAATATCTCCTTATACCCAGAACGAAGGTCACCAGCGCAAAGTAGTACAGCCAGAAATCAAACCTGGGGACCTCTGAGCGTGTTTCCCCAACAGTACTTTGAGGGCCTTGCACTCCATTTCCGGTTTTCTTTTTGTGATGATCTCAGATAGGATCCTTAGAGATTTGTCAATACACCTGTTTCCTCATCTGAAAATGAAGACCATATCACCTGCCCTCCCTAATGTACAGATTCTTAATATCATGTCTGAAAGCCACATGAAGAGTCAATAAACAGTCCTGTGAGCCCTGCCAGGGGCCCAGAGCCGTGTGGATCACAGTCCTTGCCTTCTGCAGAATGTAAATGCTTTGAAGCTTAGAGAACCATGTGGCCTCATGGGTGTGACCAAAGCAGTGGCCACTGGAGAGGTTATCCATGGGTGATGGGACACCTCTGGACCTCATGAAGTCTCTCCCAAGAATGACTGTGGCAGGTCAGGGTGGAGGAGGAGCCTTGACATGCTCCAGAAGTTCTGGAGGCCTGACTCGACACGCCCACCCACGAGGAGCAAGCCTGGAAGGCTGCAGAGGTGGCCACTGACCTGGCTGACTCGGGCAAGGTTTATGTGTGTATGTGTGTGCGTGTATATATGTATATTTGTGTGTGTATATGTGTGTGTGCACCCAGTGGTCTTTCCAGAGGCAACACATAGCCCCATGTGGCCGTCTGCAGCTTCCTCGCACAGATGGAAAAGCAGAAACTCCCCCTTTTTAATTGTAAAAGGGGAGAAGAAAATACCAGCTGCAGGGGTGGTTGTGGAGACCGAGGGACCAGTCCTCACCTGATACCCAAAGGGCCAGTTTATTACAAAGCTGAATTTGTCCAGGGCAAGCCCTGGGACAGGGGCAGTGTCCCATCCAGCTCGCACCTCCAGGGCCTAGGAAGACATCTCTGGGGCTGAAGTGGGACTCAAGGGCTTCACCCATGGATGGGACCACACCAGCACCTCTGAGTCCCGGGCCAGCACTGTCTGTATCTAGAGTAGCCTCCCAAAGCAGGGCCCAGGGCTTCGGAACCTCTGAGGTCCCCGCCCCCTATTGCCCAGCGGAAAAGTCCAAATCCCAGGTCCACAGCTAAATGTAGTCTGATCTTTAATGGATTCTGAGGATGGAAAGGAGTAGGGGAGTGATGGAGGACTTTATTGGAACAAATGGAGAAAATGGAATAAGGTCTGTATGATAGATATTACTTTTTTTTTTTTGAGACAAAGTCTTGCTCTGCGCCACCATGCCCGGCTAATTTTTGTTTTTGTTTTTTGTTGTTTTTTTTGTTTTTTTAGTAGAGACCAGGTTTCCCGTATTGGCCAGGACGGTCTCAAACTCCTGACCTCAGGTAATCCACCCACCTTGGCCTCCCAAAGTGCTGAGATTTCAGGCATGAGCCACCATGCCTGGCCTCCTGGGTTCAAGCAATTCTCTTGTCTCAGCTTCCTGAGTAGCTGGGATTACAGGTATTACCACCATGCCCGGCTAATTTTTGTATTTTCAGTAGAGACGGGGTTTTGCAATGTAGGCCAGGCTGATCTCGAACTACTGACTTCAGGTGATCCACCCAACTCGGCCTCCCAAAGTGCTGAAATTATAGGCGTGAACCACAGCACCTGGCCAATATTACTTTATCAGTGTTAAAATTTCTGGAGTGTGATAATAATACTGTGATTTTGTAGGAGAATGCCCTGTTCTTAGGAAACACATACTGTAGTGTTTAGAGATGAATAAAG